CAGATGCTGCGACAGAGAAGCTGTGCTTGCTAAGTCCTGAGAGATGACATTGGTCAAACAAGGGAACCTAAAGTGCCCCTATTCTGCCTGATCTTACCAAGCAGAACATATTGGAGATCTTTTCTATCTGAGCATAAGATCTTACACAGAATGGCTAGTGCTAAGAACAAGTCCATGTGGGAGAATGAAGACAGGGAAGGAGATAGAGAACCAATGTGGTATAGTGGTTTAGGTATTGGTAGGGGTGGGAAGGCCCAGGTTCAAATCCAGACACAGCCGAAGAAGCTCACTGGCTGACTTTGAGCAAGTTTCTCTCTCTTACCCCAATTTACTTTACAGGATTGTTATGGAGAGAGAAGGGAAGAGGGAGCACAGTGTACTCCAGACTGAATTCCTGAATGAAAGACAGGACAGGAATTTAATAAATAAAAATAATGTATGGATTTCAGAGGAGAGTGGTTAAGAAGGTATGCTGCTGTTTTCTTTGAAAAGATGGTCTTTAAGAAAGAATTTAAAGAGTCTGTAGTGATGACAAAATTGATCAAAATTTTATGTAATTCCTTCTTGTCCTATCATGGGGAAAGCCCAATGTAGCTAAAAGCGAATAAATTAAATAAAATAGACTAAAGAATAACTAAACTTTTAAAAGCATATATTTGCAAATATAAAAGGAGACCATGGAAAAAGGATGCAGCATTACATAAATGCAGCTTCTCCAACCAGAGATTTCTATACATGTTAGAAGACCAATTCCTGCTCATCCCAGGAGCCTGGGAGCTCCAGAAGGGGTAGCTCAAAGTTGGCAAAGGCTGAAGAAGTCAGTGATGCCTGTTGATGGGAATAGGGTAGTTTCTCCAGAGCATTAATAACTTAAATAGAGATGATGATGATGATGTTGATGATGATGATGATGATGACGACAATGATCATCATCATCTCTATTTAAGTTATTAATGCTCTGGAGAAACTACCCTATTCCCATCAACAGGCATCACTGACTTCTTCAGCCTTTGCCAACTTTGAGCTACC